CTCCAGCTGTATAGTCTAATGAGCTGGTAGAGGGCGCGGGGGCGGTGGAAGAGGAGGGCGAGGTATAAAAGGGGAATTTGCCCACCCGCCAATCGCGCAGAATCGAACGAGCAGAATCCGCGAGATCCAACACGCCGCCCTAGTAACGCCATTTAGGTACACGAAACTACTAAAACCCTGAAAACTCACCCGCTTAATGCGTCCGGTGGCACGCGCGTGGCCAGACAGGAACGAGTTGGGGTCGCTGGGAACGAATGCAGAAGTGTTGTAGTGGAGGACGAGGTCGTCTGCATTGGCTCGCCCAATAATCCTGTGGGCTGTCGTCCAAATTCAACAATCGATTCATTGCAAAGGACTCAAATGCGTACCTGCTGCCTCGGCATTCTTCATGCGCTCGAGCTTGCCACGAGAACGCAAGAGGACATCCGAGATGGCGGCTGCGGAATCCTCGTCTACGTCCGACGATGCCTCGAGACCGGGGGTGTCGATAAAGCGAATAGTCTTCTTGGACGAGGTGGTAAAGGGGAAAGGTTGCGGGACTATGGTGGTGGTCGATGTTTTGGTCGCGTCGGGCTTGTAAGTAGGAAGACGCGACGTCCCACACAGGCTGTTGATGACGGACGACTTTCCAGCCTATCTCCACGGGCATGAGATCGGGAATGAACTGAAGAGTTAAGAGGGGACGCACATTAGAGAATCCAATCACTGTGACCGTCAACTCGGAAGAGGAGGCCAGAGATTCCAGATGCGCCAATAAGGACGAGGAACCCACAGCATCAACATCGCTGAGCTTTGCTTTTCCCTTGGCGTGATCGTCGGGCGGAGGTAGTTGCGAAGAGGAAACGCGAAAGGGGAACGTGGGGTTGACATCACGGAGAGAGCCCAGCCAAGCCACGACGGCTTCCTTTGGTGCGATGTCTGGCACGGCAAGGTTAATGATAGTAACAGAGAAGGGAGAGAGAAGACAAACCGATTTTGTTCAAGACGAAGACTAATGACTTTTTCTTCTCTGCCGCCATCGACTCGATGAAGGCACTTTGGTGGGCGAGCGGATCACGGGCATCGAGCACGTAAAGCCAGACGTTGCCGGCGTCGAGAGCACTGCCAAGGTCGGGAATGGCGGGATCCATCAAGAGGGGCTCGTCTTCATCACCCGTGAGAGGCTGAGCTAGAGGTGACTTTTTCTTTGGTAGCGATAGCGCATGGGCGGATCGAATCGTGTTCACTCCAACAGAGGCCCCCACATTCTCATCACCGTCATCATCAGAGCCCGAGGGATCGTCTTGATTCGCAGAGCCAGAGACAGGTTTGACAGGCTTTTTTGAGGATTTGTGGGCTGCTTTTTCCTCTGCAGCCTAACGTAGGGCACAAGCAAAAAGTGTCAGTGGCACACCTCAGAGATCGATACGTTGGTAACCCACCAGGCGACGCTGCTCGGATATCTCTGCTAAAATTTCATCCTTGAAAGGGAGATTGTTCGGGATGCCAGGGTCTTTGGACACTCGCGACTTCCACTGAGGATTTTTCTTTGCAAGCTTTCTGTTCTTTTTGCGTCCTTCGGCGACTTTATGGCGGAGTTTGGCTCGGTCATTGGTCGACTTGCGATTCGACGTCTCTATTAGCGGGAATCAGAAATGGCAAAAAAGAAAGATGCATGCATGAGCTTGCTGACTTTTACGGATGCTGGGCATGATGGACGAGGACGCAGAGCCAAACAAAGCGCTCGGCGTCAACACGGTCCTTCACGATGTTGAGTATTCGGAACAGAGATCGAACCCGCCCACCTTCTTTCGCACGTAATAACTCTGCAACTATGTGAACACTTTTCGTTGAGGGGTGGAAACCAGGATGCGATGCCTACCACGATATTCTAACTAGATACGAGCCCTCCATATATCGACTGCTCCAAAGTATCGGTAATCGCAAGGTTGGCTAGTCTGCTTCATCCTTGGAAGAGGTACAATGCGTGTCATAGTCCCATAAGTGATGTATCGTCTGGAGTGCTGTAAGTGATTGTACTCGGAATCCGCTGAACCGCTCGGATCCGGCAACCTCTCGGATGGCTGTAGCGAAAAGCGCACAAACGACATGTAACCTTTCAGCTAGATATAAGAGCGACTGCTATCCGCTAGTCTGTGTGAGCAAAACGCGAATGAAACTCGGGAACCAGGGCTTGACATAGGGGAGAAACGAGAGCCAACTGTATGCTAGTTGATGACTCACTATAAGAGGACCTGCCCTGAGGCGAAAACAGAAGAGAGGACAACAACGGCTTACTTCTGATAATCCCATAACCGACAGGCGACGAAGTGGAGCGATACGCTTCCTACTCATGAAGGTGGAGGTGTCGACATTGCAGCGCGAGCACTTTACGCATGGACTGGAATACTCGTGAGCGAGCCGGGTCCAGTGTATGATTGGATCCAAAAGGACGGGAGTGGATAAATGGCGACCGTCATCGCTCAATACATTGCCCTGCGCCACGATGCGGGAAATTCCAAGAGACTTGTACTAGACGCGAGGAACGGAAACTATATTAGGGAAACAACAGATGGATGAACATGCATAAACGGACTAGACTCCAACCTCGACGCAACGAATCGATCACTAAGTAACTTGTACCTAGGTACACGGGTCAGCTAGCCAGAAGTCAGTCACGCGAGTCGAGTACAGGAAAAAACAAAAACGACACTATCTTTCGTATGTCCTTGGGCTTGATGCATGGAACCGAGAACCGCGGGGAAAGTCTCGTGAGGACGGGCGGCATATTTGCTAGGCGAGATGTGAAGAGATGAAGCAACTTTATCAATTCAGATATAATCAAGCTGGCGCCAAGAGAAATGTGGGATAGACGGGAGGATCGAGAGTAGATGTCGACATGGCTGGATCAAGAAAACCGAGGCGAAGGCTTGAATTCTAATAATAATTAGGAGCGAGCAGAGTCCTCAGAATGTCCGAATCGGAGTTAAGTGCTCAGATCGAGACGCTCACGGCGTAATGCATTTCCCATGGCGGGATGACTCGAGTCATCAACGCGTCACAGCGCACTTGTCGGTCCGTGGAAAAAGAAGCCCCCAGGAAATTCCGAGTGGACAGAGACGGAATCTAGAGTGTTCTAATACAGAATCAGTTATAGTATACTCCCATAATCCCTTGCACCCGATCGCACGCAACCAAAACAAAGCCACACACCCTCCTGACCCAAAAGCTAACCCTGCACGGGGCTCGAACCCGCAATCTTCGCCTCGCACTCCGGAAAATAGGAGGGCGACGCATTACCATTCTGCCAACAGGGCTCCGGAATACGCTAGATCCTGCGTTTCTGATCATTTTCCGCCAAAAAGCAGAATTTTTGGGATTTTTCCCGATTTTTTACGCCTCCATCACCGGAT